CATTACTGTGCCTATTAATACATCTACAGTCTGCACTGATCTTGTAATAAATGTAAACACAGTTTTATACATTGCAAAATTCTGACCCAGCTGTTCCACTGTGACCAGGCTTCAGCAAAACATGTCTTTCATGGTTCAACTGGATGGCTTTGGTGTTTAGTGGAGGAAAATTTCAAATAAGATCAAAAATACCGGTTTTGAAGGATTTGTGCTTATGCTAAGTATGAAATAGGTATGGCTGTTCCTTTGCTGTTGAGTACATGCATGATCTGTTAGTTCTTAAGTGAATGTGTGAGGTTTTGCAGAAACATTGAAATAGAAAGGAAGAGCTAGAACCATCAGAACTGGATTTCTTTTGTCTTATAATTGTGTTGATCCCTTTTGTTGTCAGATAAGTATTTTTGTCACTATAATTTTTCATTTTGCTGCTATCCCTTATCTATTTAGAGTCTGTCTTTGCTATGATTTATGTCAAGGTTCTCTTCTGAATGGTGCTGCTGGTTCATAGTATTTAACATAGCAGAGAATCTGGAGGACTTGGGGTCAAGACCCTGTTGTGCTAGGTGCTGCTTAAGGATTTTGAATAAACATGTCCCTGTCCCAGAGACCTCACACTTCCCTTTTTGCTTTAAAGAGACTGAACCCCTTTTAGGAAAAGGGGAAGTAGCGTCACTGTGCAACAGCACAGCAGCAGGACTAGGCATTTAATACCTTGGTTTATAACAGCGTTGTAATCTAAATAGAACGCAGGTGGAGTTACAACTGGGTACGATACTTTGGATATTAATGGCTTGGCTTGGCAGTGGAATTCTAAAGCTGTATATACTTTTTCTGTCTTAATTATGCATTCATTAAAAGCTTTTATACCCAACAGAATAAAGTAAATATTGTTTGATCTCTGTAGTGTGCTCCCAGACTGTAGATTTGCACAGCAGGGTCTTGATAATCTGAATAAATTGTATTTCCCCAAGGAGTTTATCTTTCAAATAAGGTCATAAAGAAATGCATTCTTTCCCCTTAGTTCTCCTTGTGCTTTTTCTGCTATTTATAACACGGAGCAGAGGAATAGAAGTATATTGTAGTCTGCAGTGTACTTGGTTATGATTAACTCTAATTTATCAATCTGTTACTTACATCCTTTTCTGTGGCTTGTGCATAGCAATTATTCTTTAAAGTACAAACGAATAAAGATGGATTTGGAAGTAATTTAAATACGATGTTTATATCTGTTATTCCTATTTGACAATACACCTCCATATTAAAACAAGGACAATGTCACATCATTTATTTTGAATATTTAATATTGTAATCTCTCAGATTATGTTTGTTCGGAAAACTGATTTTCTTTTACGAGGCCTTTAAATGTCAGCTCATTGTTAAATTGGTTTGGCATCTAAAGGTTGATACTACTGAAGCAGAAGACCAGTAGTGTAGAACAATGGATTCTCTTACATTAGAGAGAGGGGAAGCAGGGGAATGTATAGTAAGTAGAATGCATAGAGTCCAAGATATTTTCTTGGTTTAGAAGTAGACACTGATAAATAATTTGGCCAATTTATTAAATTGGTTTGAGTTTACTGTGAGATTTTAGTAGTTGTAAGATCTGTATATATAATCATATACATATTTTTTTAGTCTGAGTGTGTTTCAGCAGTGTAACATACATCATATTAGAAGAGATAGGATCACTACCTTTCCCTAATTCTCTTCAGCTCTTAGTGACAGTTCTGCTTGTGTTCATATTTCATCCTTTAGTTCAAAAAAAGATAAGTGGCATACATTTAAAAGTTTATAAAAACAAGATTAAAAGTTTCAATAATTTACATAAGCCTATTCTGTATTGCATGTTTTTACAGAACACATACTGCGATAGAGCACTAGAAGAGAGTTGCACAGGACTTAAGTTTTGTAGCTGCTCTTTTAACACAATATAATAAAATTTGTGAAAAACAAGAGACTGCCAGAACTCCTATTCCTGACCACACCTAAATTTAAATTCAATTAAGATGTAGTTTGAAAATCTGTTCAAATCAGACTGAGTTGACAGTGATGGTTTTGATATTTCCTGGTGGATTTTTTTTAACGCTAGAAGGTAAGGTGCACTTTTTTTTTTTTGCAGCTAACTTACATTTTAGTCTGATGTTTCTGAAAGTCTTACCACATACGAAGAGCTAGGTTATCTGATCTGTGGTATACAACTTGCAATCTCAGTGTGACATTTTTGCCCTTTAGTATCATCACAGAGACAGTACTGTATAGTACTGTGTAATTTTGATTTGAGTATTGCTATGACAGTCTGATAATTTTCATTCATAAAAGCTAATGCACTACTTGCTTCTTTGGCCATTAAATACAAACCTGTAGATCAACTCTAACCTTATAAAAACAGAAATGAATGCTTTTGATTACAGGCCAAGACCAGTTTTAAGAAAATGTATTTGCAATATTCATCAAGCAGTAAACCATAAGTCCAGCAGGTCACTAACACATTATGTTAGGTGAAGCGTCAAGAATCCTCTGAAACTTACCAATGAAAATAAGTAAACAAATAAACTCCCATAATAAATAGACACATAAATAAATAAGCCTCTGAAATAAGTGAACACATACAAATAGAAATAAATAATATTGCAAATAAACAACTGGTGAGAGTTTATCCATCCATAAGTAAATTTGGCTTCTTCAACTGCATGACAGCTTTCATTAAAAACTTCAATTAGTGTTGATTTGAGGGGATAGGGGAGTTTCGGGATCGTCAAAAATACCCAAACAAAAAATGAAGGCTTACCAGTGTCTTTCAGAATTCACTGAAAATGTGAGGATTTTTCAGGGGAAAACTGCATTTGTGTGTTATATTACTGTTTCCCTCTAATGAGGAAAAATTTTATTGTGGTATCTCCAGTGTTGTCCTCTTCTGAAGTCCACAAAACCATCTGCCCTTCTCCATTGACACTTAGTGGGGTTTAATCAGGCCTGTATTTTAGTTGTGCTGTTGATCCTCAGATCACAATGCTTGATTATTTATTTGTTTATTTTAATCCTCCCCGGATAGAGCTGTTGACTACAAAAGAGCTCAATAAATATACACTGAGCTCTTCTACATGTCTTTCTGGATGTTTGGCATTCATTCAATCGGGGAGTTCTTTGAAAAGATGGTCTTCCAAACCAGGGACAATAAACTATGGTTGTTGCTTGTCAAATGCTGTGATGTTTACTTTGATTATACTCCTCTGCGTTGCTGCCACCATTGCATGGCCATCACAGAAGTGGTGGTGTGAGGTAGCATCTGTGATCTGCAGATACTAAATCACCGAGCAAGCACACAGACCAGATACTTCTCATGTAAAATTCATTCCTTTCTCTTCCTTTCTGCAGTTGGGGAGGATTTATCCTTACCTTCTCTATGTTAGTGTGAAGAGGAACTGACACTAGCATATCTGTGGCTTTTGGGATGATGGCTGTTAGCGCTTGTTCTGACAACATAAAGAACTTTTCTTTGTTCTTCCAAGAAAACAATGCGAAACTCCTATGCAGCAGTTTAAGTAGATAATGAATAGGATTTATCTTTAATGCACGAGCCTGTAAGGGAAGGTGTGCTGTTCAGACTGGGAGATTAGGTAACAAGCAGGAGCCTCCACAGGAATTTGCTTCTGTTTCCTCCAGTACTGACTCCTCTAAGCAGGTGAAAAAAATTCTTTCTCCACTCTCCATTGCATATGCATAAACAGCTCCACAGTCATTGGGACAGCCACCCAATTCACACGTTCAAGATGTAGTCCATAAAACATTCCAAAAAAACCCCTCTTCGCACTTTCCCATCTTCCCTGTTGCTCTGCTCTATCTGCCAGCCGTGCAGCTCATTTGACATTTACAAGATTTCTTGTCAGTTTCATTTGGTGCTGCCATTCCATCCAGCAGAGCAGTGAAAGTGAAATTGACTTAATTTAGTCTGTTTCTCTTTCCTGCTCTAGTCCCTATGTTAACTAACCAGCAAAGTGAAACTGACAAGACTTCTTGTCATTTTCACACATGGAGCTGGTCAAGGAGAAGGCGGCTGATAGGGAGCAATGCGGTAAATTGGAAGATGAAAACCAGGATTGCGGAGGGGAGAGGAAGAGAAGTGTGAGCATAGAGCAAGAACAGAGAAAACAGGTAAACATGCTTATTTCCCAGACCTCCTGGGTGCTTTTCTCTAATATGGATGAATTCTTGGCCTCTCCCCTGAAGAGCATATGGTCTAGAATAGCAGTAGTTAGTTGTCCAGACACTAATTTACATGGGATGCCAAGTGGAAAACATTAGCCTGTAAATATAGGTTATCTGTTACCAGGATGGAAAAAAATTCCTGCACTGAATTACTCTAGCTTTTGTCTCCACGGATTTTCTGCTGCTAGAAGGAGGGGGAGAAAGAATGAGGCCAACATCCGCTATAGGTTGATGTCAGTGGTTGGAAAAAAAAAGGGTCTGTTTGTTCATTGAAGATAAATTTATACATAATAAAATGTAACTCAGCATCTCGTATTTTGTGAGGTTTCATGGAACTAAAAGTCGTACTGTACAGGTGCTCTAGCTCAATCAAAACAGTAAATAATGAACAAACAATTGCTTTGTAACAAACCATTGTAGTTACCAAATACATTTTTTTAATCTACTTGTTAACTCCTGCGAGCTCTTGTTGTACAGTATAAATCATGTTGGTTTATTATTTTATGTACTAATCCGTATTTCTTACAGATGCTGTATGCATATATAACCTTAGCAGTTGCAATATAAATTAATACTATCATACCTATTTACGTATGCACTGGTAACATTTACACATACATTTTGAATGAGGCTGTGTTAATTAATTTCAAGTTATATTACCTTCTTTCTCCACAGCTCCAAAAGAACAACTTTTTTTCATTATCTGAGACCTGTGGGGTTTTTTGTTCTCTGTTTGTTTTTTTTTTCTTTTTGTTTGGTTTTCTGAGACTATTTTGTTTGCTTCACCCATTTAGGAATTAAATAGTTTTAATTACTTGGACCTGTATAAGCTTGCGGACCTCTTCAACCTCACTTTGTTGGAGAATGCAGTGGTTGACTTCTTAGTAAAACATCTCTCTGAGCTATTGAAGAGTCATCCTGAAGAAGTTCTGGCACTCCCATACTGTCTCCTTCGAGAGGTTTTTAAAAGTGATAGACTCACTTCACTCAGTGAAGAACAAATCTGGCAGGTAAGGCCACAAGCAGAATGTGTGATACTCTATAAGCCATAGCAGTAATCTGTTGTTTTGAAACCCTGGAGCAATCTCGAGGGAGAATAAGCACTTGAGCAAAAACTGTGAATAACAACCGAGGGAAATTTTTAAATTAAATTCAAAAACTGTTGTGTTGTGTTAATGCAATTAGTTTGCTTGAAAGAGAAATTTGTCGTCTTGCTTACTTTGTGTTACTCAGATGTGGCCAGACACTTTCTACCACTTTGTTGGTGGAAGAGATGGCCAATACGTGCAGCTTGGTTATTGTCTCTGGTGAGGCGTGTGCCGCAAATCTGGTAGCAAACCTGCTTCTGCTTGGACAAATGCTTGTCCATTTGCTTGGACAAACTTAACTGTGTAACTTCAGTAGTTATTTAGATTGTTTAGGCCACCACAGCTGACTTTGTCTGAAGCAAATTAGTAAATCATCACACAGGCTGCTCTGCTCAGAGCCGAGTGGAGGCATCAATGGAAGGTTTGTGGCAAGAAGCTGGAAGTGGTGATCGTTTCTTTTAAAAAGCTGGCTCTGGAAAAGGACCGGGTTGCTAGTCATAGAATATTAACAAGATAAAAGCATTTTGTTCTGACCTTTAGTGTGGAGAGGAGTGGGGTAGGAAACCTAATATGAAAAAAACCATGTAGCCTGTAAAGCGAAACAAAGACTAAAACGAAGTCTCTCCTTGGAAACATTCCTGTTATATGTATGTAAAAATTGCAATTCATGATATAGTGGGAAATCTCTGTAACACTGATTACCCAAAAACTTTTCTGTTTCCTTTTTGCTGTCATGTTTTATAGAAGGAAAGTATTTCAGGGTATTTCAAGGTAGAATGTAACTTCCTAAAAAGAAAGCATATGTTTCTTTCAAGCAAGTGGGTTATCCTGGTCCAACAGAGAAGACTAAAAGTCAGAAAATTGATTGATATTTCAGTCTGTTATTTATCTACTTATCTTTTGGATTATTCTAAGCAAATAATTTCATCTATATGCCATTGTTCTCTCAAAGTGTAAAATGTGTGTTCATCTGTGGGGTGCTTCATGTTCTATAGATGAATAACATCATGCAGGAACAAAATATTTATTCTTAAAAAAATGAAAATGTCTAGTTAAGCTCTTCAAACCACAGAAACAGTATGCAGATGTGACTTAACCCTTTAGTCTGATAACTGCCGTATTTGTTTCCGAAACTTTGAGGCTTTAGATTAGGGAGCATTTTATAAAGTCTAAACATAAAGTTAGACTCCTGCCTATCCTAATCTCTGGAGGATGTCTGTACAACAGAACCTGCTGCACACTACCCATGATGGTGGGTGTGGTTTGGTGTTTGCTTTTTTTAGGCATGATACTCTGGAATACTAGCCCATATTCCCTTTATCAGAAAAGGTTTTGATGTACAAGTTCATACATGGAGCATGGCTGATCAGCCAATTGCATTTTATCATAATTTTTCTGCAGGGTTAGTGAAATCTAGCTATGCACTTGAGTATACTTTTTCTAGGAAAGTTGCTACAGAAAGCCACGCGAGTATTATTTAATGCCAGCTCAGCAGTGAACACGCATATACGGAGTACTATGCCCTATGCAACCTGCTGAAGCAAAGTTTGGAAAGTGGGAGGTTTTTAAATCTTGTGTCATTGTCCTGTCCTGCAGGAGGAACTCAGAAATAATTTTCTTAATTGTGTGCACTCCAGTCAATGAACACTTCATGAGGTAAATATGACAAAACTTCTGTTTCTGTTGCAGGGTCATACTGGGGAAAGATGCTTATAGGTAATATGCTGCTTTTTGAGTGACAACAAACTCCACACTGTCCATTTAAGTGTTATCATAATTGCCTCTCTAAAGGTTACTAATGCTGTTCCGAAGAATTTTTTTTAAACTAGTTTTCCGCTGCAGGCAAAATGTGCGTGTGTCTTTTTAATTCAGTCTGTACAACCAGGAATAAATATATATTTATAATATTCCAGGTCCCCAGAATGAATTAAAAGACACACATAAATATTTACCAATTTAGGCATTTAGAAGGCAATAAGAAACTGGTTTTTTGCTTTATCTTAGTAAATAAGTAATTCCCTCATAGTCAACCCAACAGAAGAAAATCAAATCAGACCAGCTATATTGCCTCAAGTGTAGTTAAGTTCATCATTTTTGCTAAGGTTATAGTGGTAATGCAATATACCATGGAAGAATCTAATATTCAGCCCAGGGTGAAGATTGGGTATGCCAGAGGATTAGTGTCAGGGTGCTTTATAGAAGTGAAACTTGATGGACAGGCTGGAGACAGATCTACAGAATCTCATTAAATTGCTGAATTGTTCATTACTGAGCACTCTCACTGTAATAAAGTGCTCATTGACTTTGACAAATCCCCATCCCATGTCTTAAGGAAGAACAGCAAAGCAAGAGGTGTTGGGGAAGCTGGAGGAAATTGGCACAAAGTGGGGCAGATAATAGAAAAGCTGATGGGGGATGCTACAGCTTGATTTGTCTGTCTTACCTGTGACTAGTGCAGCCTCCTGTGCACGCACATCATGCGTGTTACGGCGATACGAATTCGGCATGGCCCCAAGGCACCTTTACTAGTAGGGCTCCCATAAAGCCCTAAGCAGAAATTAAAGCTTCCCTCAGAGAACCTCTGGAAAGGGTGCAGAGCACAGTTACTTTCACTGGTTTAAATTCCCAGTGTCCACTGGGCAATTCAATCCTAATGCGCATGAATATTAAGGCAGTTATTTTAATGCATCAAAATGTGTACTCAGAGTGATGCTTGAACGTGATTTGAACTGAAGTGACTGCAGCTCATATCTGGCACATTTTGGATTTTTGTTAGGCTGCCAATTCACAGTTGCCTAATTTTAGTGAATGTGGTGAAATAGAACGTTGAACAAACCAGGTTTTAGAAAGTTAAACACTAATATTAATGTCAATATACTAGGATGTGGGATAACGTAGAATGTTTCAACAGCAATTGCTGTTGATTCTTTCAGAAGGAAAAATGTGACTTCCAAACCAGGGTAAAGTGGACAAACTAAGTAGTTCATTCCTCTTTCTACCTCTTAAAATCTTATGAAACTCTTTGGTTTAACGTAGGTGTCTTATCTTTAGTGGAGACAATAGACAAGGAATATAACGATGTGTTTCTTAAAACAAATAAACAACCAAAAGAAAGCCTACCAGAAAACCTCCATAGGCTGTGAAATTGGAGCAATTTACTAGCCTCCATCATTTTTTTAGCTAGGCTTAGCCAGTAACAATGCTTGTTAGGTGACATTAGGATTTGTTTTCATATTGATTTTTTGCATTTTACTAGCATGTGAGATTATGATATATTATTTTGTATTTATGAAATTTATGATTATTCACATTTTAATGCAGCTGACAAAACTTAAAGCAGGGACATGGAAGAAAGGATTAAATAAAAAAATGAAGAAACCCAAGGAAGAATCCTGAGGAAGTTAGAGGGGAAACAAGGAAATTCTTTGTTATTTTTCCCTTTCATCATGAGCTGTTCCGCACACTTTTTTTCACAGGAAACGGTCATGATGAGGACATAAATGTCTAGTTTATCATGAAGTGAAAAGTGAATCTTTTCATAATTGGCCATTACTAGAAAGGATCATTGGCTCTACTTTAAGGAAGCAGATGAATTCTCTCCCTTGATAATTGAAAAGGTAACCAACCTTGTACAACAGAACGTGTTTTCAGACAAATCCAGCAGTAGAGTGCTTCTTGTTGGAACCTCAGCAAGCAGAAACCAAGCCAAAGATTTAATAAACTGATGTTAGCCTTAGTTGTAGTATAGTTATGCCTTATCATGTCTGTTATTAAAAACTTCAATGTCATGAGGCTTAAGTGTTCGTATTTCAAGGCTCATACTAATAGCTTCAGATAGAAATATCTACTGGATCGTTCTGTCTCCCAGCAGTCTGTTGGTCAAATGATACTGTATTAAATACTGCACTCGATCCAAGGTGAACTCTTTGGCAAAAAATCTGAATGTGAGATCAGTATAGATAAGTTTCTTCCTTCTCTGCTACAGGTTAAGTAGGTCTTCAAAGGATATATGTGGTTTTTAAACAGCTAACATCAAAAAGAGATCAGTTTTAGTATTTGCCAATACTTCTTCTGAAGTTAAGGTTAGGAGTTTTTTCCTTGGTTTTTTACTTTGCCATGCCGCTCAGTTCCTTGGTAGTTGACTGATAAGCAAGCAATCTAGAAAAAAATGGTAGATAAAACTGTATGAGTAGTTTATTCAGCTAGAAAGCATGCAACTATGTCGTGTCTTTTCCGGGGCTAGGCTCCCAAGACGTTCCAACCCTGTTAACTTCCTTGTGGGCAAGTTGTGAACTTGTGTTCATAAAGCAGATGTTCCACATCTGAAAGCATAGCACAAGTTATTCTTTTTGTTACTGTGGATGTGATGTGCAAAATTAGTCTTTGGTCTCTGTATTAGAGAAGTGTCTTTACTTGAATAAATAGAAAAATAAGGCAGGAAAACCACAGTGCTACAGGTCAGTATGAGTTGTTAAGCATCTATTTTATAAAAATGTATAAATCCAATTTTCTTATTACAGTCCTGTTTGTCCTTTTCTAAGGGAGAGCAAAATGCCCTATTTTCAACTACCTTTTCTTACACTTGACCTCCATTTTGAATCTCCTGGTGGCATTTCTGGAGGGCCAAAAGTATTCTCCAGCAGAAATCCCACAGAGTTTGGTGCTGTTGGAAATTTTGCGGTGTATGGATTATAGCAGGCTGTTACGATGGAACAGTTCTCTGCTGAAGACAGGCCCACAGACATCTTCCATACATCTCCAGAGATGCCCACATTTTCCTATGTAGAACAGCAGTTTCTAAAGTGGGTTGTCATGTTCCAGTACAAGCTTGCCATTCCTTCAGTGCAGTACTTGAATTTTTTTTTTCCTGTCAATCTTTTGATTCTACAGAACAATTTTTAACATGGAGAGCGCAAAATTCA